CCATTCCCAGTTGTCTTGGTTCTCCATGGAGACCAAAGCAAATGCCACAGGCAACACCTGATCATTAGCGTCATGTGACATTGCTATCATGAGTGTGCCCTTATATTTCCCTGTCAAGAATGTCCCATCTATAGACAAAACCGGTCGACAATGCTCAAAAGCTGTAATGCATGGGCCAAACGTCCAAAAGGCAGGACGAAACACTCCTTCAATATCTTGGACATAGTGGTACATTCCTGGGTTTCTATAAGACATCGCTCCCAGCAACCTGGGTAGCATGTTGTAAGCCTCTTCCCATCCACCGTACAACATTCTGAGAGCGACTTGCTTGGCCTTCCATGTTTTCCCATACTTGACCTTATATCCGAACTTATCTTCAATCCAACTCATCAATAACTTCACTTTAATGGTTGGATCCTCGGCTATATATTTCTGGTATTTATAACCAATGAATTCCGAGGTTAGTTGACGGTGTGTCTTCCGTGCTTCTACGGCCGGCGGTGTGCATTGGTGAGTGGCTTTGCAACTAGTTATCTTCCACCAACCATCTTTCGTGAGTCTTCCATTCACTTTCCATTTGCATCTTTCTACCTCACATTTCACGGTGTATCGCTTGTTGCAGTCCGAGTGAACAACTATGAAAGGCCTGTGGTGTTTGACAACATACTCACACAACCACATCCTGAATTCTAGCATGTGCTCGAACATCAAACCTTTCCTCACGTACGACATCGAAATCGCGTCGGGTGTACTACTTGGGAACTTTCTAGCCTCAATTGTCTTGCTCATGCCACCGTCAACTATAGCCTTATCTGCAAGGCTAACATCACAAAACAAGGGAACTTTGTGATCCCTACCGGTGAATTTTGTGTACCACTCTGCTTCTTTCTCAATTAAGCCATCCTCGTCCAACTCATTCACCGGGCCTTCATCATCCGAGTCATCCACACAAGCACGCTGATAGATAATGTCAGGATCCATGTCCTGATGCCTTACTTCGGCCTCTACGTCACCAACAATGTTGTGATGCCTCTCATACTCTTCGTCAGAGTCATCACCATCATCTTTCATCGGTGCACTACCTCCGAACTCATATTGGGGATACTCATTGGCTTCAGCTTCAACTTTATGCTCAACAATAGGCGGCACACTACTAACCGGGCTCACATCATCTACTAAGGTTTGGTTCAAGTCAAGACGAAAGAGAGGAGCCTTCACCACCTTACTTGCAAATACTTCAAGTGACTTGACTGCCGAGGATGCAACAACCTCCTTATATGCAACCCAATGCAAATTGGACTTGATAGGCATTGTCTTCATTCGACACTTGTGTGCCGACCCAACATCATATCTTCCTACTAATTCAACTTGGTCACTTGCATCCACCCACTTTAATCTTATCCGTGTTTCTTCCACAACCTCTTCATAACTAGGAGTCTCAAGAAATATCAATACTTCCTCATACTTGTCAACAATATCCACATTCATGAATGCCTCTTTGTCAACGTAATGAATATTCACAATCTTGTCCATCTAAAGAAGGGGAACATAAGATTAAAAATGTACAATGCTAAATATACCACATTGCTAACAAAACCACTAACCCTAACCATAAATCTTAACATTAGGCATAACCCTAACCTAAATCTTAACATTAGTCATAAACCAAACAATAAGGTATGCTCAACAACATCACAATGCAACACCATTGGAACAACAATACTAAAAACATCACATTAGATATCCATGTTCAAAACTAGGGTTAGGAACAACAAGAACAAATCAATCCAAATGGGCAAATCCAACCAATAAAAATTTGTGAGATGAAGGAGGTTACCTCAACGAACGAAAATGACACCGGATCCACGGACCAACCCAATCGATTTGCAAGGATTTGAGAGGGGATAAGTGAGGGACACAAAGGGGGAAAAGGGCAAGAGCTCGGGATAGGCCAATGGGGGAGAAGAGATTGAGGAGTGAGTGGTGGGTGCAAGCCCTACGGCCACCTAAAATATCTGCATCAGAAACGCCATTGGTGCTGGCGTTTCTAGAAACGCTAGCTGTCTCGGCGTTTCAATCCCGCCACGTCATCAAGCAACGCCAACTCGGCCTGGCAGTGGGCCATGGAAGAAATGCTAGCTTGGTCGGCGTTTCCATGTTCATCAGAAACGCCGCGGGGCCTGGCGTTTCTAAAAGGGTCAAATCGTGAAACACTTTCACGTCGGGTTCAGTTTGCGACTAAAAAGTCTGACAAGGTCAAAACAGTGATTTCGTCCGAGGATGTCGCCATCGCCGTCGCAAAATCGAGGAGGAGAGGATGGGGGACGCGGTGCGGGCTGTGTCGTTTGTCGGATTAAAGCAAGGTTTTTTTTTTGTAAATTGTCATCGGAGACAACTTTTATCGGATGGAGGGAGTAATAGCTAGGGTTGAAAATATCCACAACTAGTCGTTTTCAAAAATTTCCGGGGCTACTCCCTCCATTCACAAATATAAGATGTTTTCAATATTTTAGACCATATATGGATTGAAATGAGTGAATAAATACACTAAAATGCGTATATATACAACAACATAGAAAAAAGTTGGAACATCTAGTGTTTTTAAGGCGGTAGCAAGGCGCCTCACCGCCTAAGTGGTAAGGCATAAGGCAAGGTGGACACCTTAGAGAGTTCTAAGCAGCAGAATGAAGTAGAATTTGGTAGGCAACTATGCATACACACTACACATACATCTTGCCCTTGCTGATGGTTGTAGAGCCCATATAGCATCCGTCATGTTTGCACTTCCTCTTCTCCCCAACAGTAATCATGCATTATTCTAACCATCCAGGCATCCACTAACCACTATAAGAGAGGCAGTGAGCAACCAGTAAAGTAGGAAGCAGTGAACAGCTGAAAAGCAGCAAGCAATGAACAACTGAACATGGAAGAAACAGAGGAGAATGGTTTTTCTACCATGCACGAGATCTCCCGTGCATGCATACTGTTTTCTTGGTCCCACTACTTATGGACACTTATGACTTACTACACCATATGGCCCTACCTAGATTATTTCTCTCCTCATATTAACCCATGCATTTTAAGTTGAGTCAGAAATTTTAAAACTATGTATCTTTTGAATGAAAATTTTGATTTCTGTTCTGTTAACATATTTGGGGTCTAAGGAGATCTTTTAAACAAGATCACGAATATATTTCCATAATTTTTTAAATATAATTTTTGAAACTTGATGAATCTATAGAAAAAAACCCCATCAAACTACAACATTTACATGTAACGAGTTTTGCAGACTATCATAGAGTTTCACACCATGTTTCATACAGTTTCACCATCTTTCGTATGGTTTCATCATGTTTTAAAAATCAAAATTTAAAAAGTATCAAAATATATTCAAGAGTGATCTTGTTTAAAAGTCCTCGTCACCAGGAATATAAATACGCAAACAAAAGTTAAATCGGGATTTTTGTTCATAAGGTAAAATGATTCCAAACTTTGAAATCACAAGAAAAAGCATGGGTGTGTGGTGGGTTTCATGTCAGATAGTAGGTGCATGGACCATGTGATTAACTGATATGACATGACTAGATGGGTGAAATTACAACTAGAAGAGGAGTGCATGCATCCGAATCTCAATCTATATCTAAGGGCTGACCCATGCACGGGACCTCCCATGCATGGTAGAATTGCTTTTCTCAGAAACAGAGCAGAGGAGGGTGGGGGAGAAGGGGGAGGGAGAGGAGTAGAGGATGGGGGAGGTATATCTTGGCAGTTGGCTCCTTGTTGTTGCCTGTTGCTGGTTGCTGCTGTACTGAAGAGGAGGATGAGGAGCCTGTTGCTGGTTCCTGTTGTACTGAAGAGGAGGATGAGGAGCTGCTGGAGAGGAGGGGAGGAGGAGCTTCTGGAGAGGATCTGCTGCAGAGGAGGGAGCAGATCTGCTGGAGGAGAGGAGCCAAAGAAGGAGGAGATGTGTGTCGGTTGAGAGTTTTTTCTCTCTCTCTTGCCAACAACATCTCTATTTTTCACCAGAAGACTGTTTCCCGCCTAAAACTGCTTTCCTTCCTGGCTGGCAAGCTCAAGATGTCTAATATGGACTAGGGCACCTACCTGGACGTCTTAGCACCGCTTCAGACGCCTTAAAGCTTAAGGCGGACGCCTTACTCAGGTACCTAAGGCAAGCTGGACCCCTTGAGCTTGCGGGGCGCCCTGACGCCTAAGCATCGCCTAGGCGACGCCTTACGGACACTTTAAAAACAATGGGAACATCTTATAATAGTGAATGAGGGAGTAGTTGTTTTCATCAGATACAAGCGAAGTTTGTCGCATTTTGCAAGTTGTATTAAACTGAACGCACATGGCAAGTTTATGTACCGTCACTGTAGTTACCTAAAAAGATTGATTAGTATGGCCAATTTTGCATACACAACCTTTTGTCTTTTGAAAGGTTCGTCACACTTCTGTTTTTAAATTCTCACACTATCATAGTACTACTCTGTCATAATACAACGCATAATAGTTTTGTTTCAAGTCAAACTTTGTAAACAACTGCCAAATCCTTAGAATTTTTTAACTGAAATATCAAATTAATACCGTTAAATTCATTATAAAATATATTTCCAGATTGTACATATTTGCTATTTAAATGTTCATATAATATTTTTACAAACTTGGTCAAAATTTACAACGTTCGACTTAGGATAAATTTAAATGACTATATTTTGACACAGAGGGCACAATGTATTTTTTTAGAGTACTTTGTGCGTACCATATTTTTATAGAAGAGTAGAATAATGTCTACAATAGTCACTAGAATAATCACAGTCTGATAGTAGGGCCACACCATACCAGAAATACATGGGCACTGTATGAATTATCATATTTTGTTGGAAAATTCACAAGATGTATTGGACACCCAATAGTGTTGTCCCTATTATTGGATTATCTAGCAGTAGATGTAATTATCCTTTGGATTTTCCGTGCAAAATAATATTTTTTTTCTGGATTTAGCCACTCTTGGAGACATCCACCGGGTAACGATGGATGCAGCTAGCCCAGGCTCCATCCATACGTGAAGATGGTTGTTTACACACCCAACCAACGGTGTTGCACTCGTACCCTGCACCGAATCCGATCATCCACACCCTATTGCCTTTCTTCATCCGGCCTTTGGCCTCGATGTATGATAACTCATACCACACCGATGAAGTCGACTGGTTTCCAAATCGATGCAGCGTCATCTTTGATGGCTCAACATGCTTGTCTGATAGATTAAGACCAAGTTGTACCGAGGTGATAACCGCCGGTCCGCCAACATGGATGCAAAAATGCTCAAATGCAACACAAAAGTTGGGGATGTATGGTCTAATCTTCCACCTACGGAGCACCTTTTTCGCCACATAGAAGAACAAAAACTTGAGAAGCTCTGATGCGGGTAGGACAAGAGGCCCGGTTGTCATGATATTATCCTTGAGTGCGTTCCCAGCGACATCCATAATGTCTTTAGAGAGAGCAATCCCTAGGTTGCCCTTGTCATCTTCCTCTTGATAAACACACCGGTAAGCAGCGTTGTTTGCCGAAGTGACTGTTCGTGTGAAATGCCCAAGCTGAAACCGAGCATTGGATCTAGAAGTCGACAACAGCTTGGCAGCACCACCTATGCGGAACAAGACGTTAACCAACTGCATAGAACGCTTATTCCCCGCATAGTAGAATGGCCCAATGGTCTCCGTCGACACCACCAACACGTGTGACCCCCAAGGCATCACTTGCAGCATGTTGCTTGCGAGCCCCACTGCGGTCACTGATGCTGAACACCCCATCCCAGAGAGGTTGATGACACACAGATCACCTCGCAACTTGTATCTGTTCACAATCATGTCGGCGATGGATGGTACTGGGCTAAATGTACTGCAGTTGGTGATAAGAGCACCAATCATGTCGCGGTTGATGCACGTCTTGGCAAAAAGGTCATCGATCACCGAGAAGACCACCAACTCTGCTTCGGCACGTGCTTCATCAAGCCCGCAATATGGCTCTATATAGTGAATGGCAGGCGGGGCACATGTCTGATCACTCATGCTTGAGCGCTCAAGAATAGTAGCAATGAAGTTGACGGTAGAATCATCAAACAAAGGCGAGAGACGTGCATGCTCGAGGAAGGTTGCCTTTGTGACTCTTAAATTGGAGCTTGGCCGGAAGCAAGCATAGTCAACAAGGTATACAGTTCTACGACGGAGTGCAAGGTAGATGGTAGCCGTGATAATCAGTAGAAAGACGGCAAGGAGTAGATGGATGGGATAGGTGGCAGTGAGTTGGGGCAGAGTCTCAAGTGAAGCAGCTAGCCATGGCGCAACTTTGTTGAGGACGCCAGCTGGGAGTGTCATCGTGGTAACAATTCGTAGGAGGAAGGTGTTGGCAGCGTGGTGGTATAGAAATCCGAGTCTCTTGAGATGAGACAGCAAATTCATGGTGTTGGCCTGTTGGGTGATGTGGTGACCGATGAGGATATAGAGGGAAATGCATATACTATATATTTGTATTGCTGTAGCACTTCTAAAGATCTGCAGAATTAAAGCCTCCAACTGTGCAAGTGTCAACTGCCCGTGTCCTGGCACGTTATCTCGACGAAAATTTCTTTGCACTCATTTTTTTTTTTGAAAAAACTTCTGATCTATTCATCAACTGTCAAGATAGTACAAAGAACACTAGAAGTAAAATTTACATTCAGGTCTGTAGACTACCTAGCGACGACTACAAGCACTGGAGCGAGCCGAAGGCGCGCCACCGTTATCGCCCGTTTCTCATCGGAGCCGGGCAAACATTGTTGTAGTAGACAGTCGGGAAGTCGTCGTGTTAAGGCCCATAGAAGCTGCGCACCAGAACAGCAACCGCCGCCGATGAAGAGAATCATAGACCAAAATCGTGGGCGAAATTACTAACACCATAGGCTAACAGGACATCTAGATTACTGCCCAATAGTGCACGGGCGATGATAGTACGATGTACTATGGTTCCTTAATTGCATGTCAAGCTAACTATTTCACAAAATATTATCATGTGCACATCCGTGTATCATATGTTTTTGCACATCGTGCTGCAGGAGCATTTTCATTTCAGATTTTCTAAGCGAACGTACAGAAATAAATATTGAGGAGGACATAAGGTTTTGAATGTATCAGCCAACTATGTGGGCTGTCTGTTTTCCGTTATTTGTATTTCCCAGGACATCTTGTTATCTATCAAATTCTATTATATCAATCTATCTATTATAAATTGAAATTAAAGCTCAATAGAATATTGTAGATTAACATTAGATGACAGGCTAATAAAAAAGATAAATATACATATAAATCTCACAAAAATGCAAAACGCTGGCCGATAATTGGCCGTCGTCATTTAATCTATACTAGATGATATCCCACACATTGAGTTGGAACTATTGACCTTTCGCCAATTTATTATTTCCAATGATTTCTAGGAAAATCCTAGAGCTCTATATGGGCCATTCATGCATGACAAGGTTGTGTGGAAAGTTTGGTCCCATTTCGGTTGTGCAGGGTGTGCTGCACACACACATGCCTCGCCCGC